CTATGAGTCGCTGACAATATCCAACTACAAAACCAGTTAGGGCACTGAACAAAATGCAGCTGTCCATTTCGTTCTGCGGAACTCCTTCTCGGTGATCGGCGTTTGTGTCGAATTCGTGAATCATATATTTAGTTTCATCAAATTGTTTAAGCTTAATTTCTAAAATAATGTCAATGTTATTTGTAGTTTGAAATGCTAAAGCGTTTGTTTATTCAATATTCTGGTAGAGATGGATTATTTTCTATTTTGGAGCATTATTAGGAATATTCGGGATTGTTCTCCCTCTCCTCACACTCAATGCTCTACGACTGTTCTCGAAAACAGCTTTGTCATGGCGAATACCTCCTCCAGCACCAACCGTACATTTGGACGTCGAGCACCGCGATACGTTTCTTCGGCTGAAACATGACCATGAAGGCGCAGCTTAATGGTATTCCAGCTTGTTTGAAATCTATTAATATAATGTGAATATGTAGTCCTGTGCGACTTGCCTGTGTTATACCGCAAAGTTTTAGAGGTTGGAGATTCATCACATGTATGTCGTACAGCGGTAAAACCCTCTGCGCTGATTCACGTATGTCATTTTCTCAAAGACGTCGTGGGATGAGCCAAATCACCACCAAGGGAGTTACTACAAGTGGTCGGCCTTGCCACTACACGGGCCTGTTTTCCAGTCTCTTTGATACAAAAAAGCGTCATCGACTTGAATGGCATAATTTGAGGTTTACAAAATACTTCTGTCAAATTGACAGACTCCGCGTACACGAAACCAGCTTTTCCACCTTATAGATCCCGTGATTGTTACGCGAAACTCTAACAGTGCTGGTAAGCAACTCGCTGTTCAAGCTATGCTTTCGAACGAGAAATCTGGGTTGAACTTGCGCAACAATCCACAACTCCATTACCAAGTTTTATGGCTGTACTCATAAGCTTGATCTGCTGGCAGATTCCGCAAAGATAAGGTACTTGTAGTTGAGCCAGCGTATCTGATACAAATTAAATTGGCTTGGTCTGGCCAGCTACTCGCACAAGTATAGTTCAAAGTATGCTGACTTTGCACGGCGCCTCAATGATGTTCTTAACAAGATGTCGAATGCGGCAGAAGAGTTTTACTTGCACAGAACTATCTCTTAGCCAAATTCAGTGTGCATCTGCTTGGCTCTACGCCATTTCCTATCGATTGAAATCATGCGTTCTTACGCACAGCGACGTCGTCACCACATCGCGCACATACAGTTTCATGCTGGCCTTTCATCTTTGTCAAGTTTATCTTTAAAGAAAGATATTGACCGGGTCAGTTATTCGCGTTGGTATTTGCTTTTTCGTGTCATCATCGCGAACAGACCAGCTTATAAGGCGATATGTACAGCGTACAGAAGAGGTATGTGTCGTTTTGCTAGATGCTTTTGGGAGCAAGGCGTTTGAAAATTTAGATGCTGATCGAAACGCACGGCTGTCCATTTGCACCGATATCCCTAATCTCAACATTTGCAGTACTACAGCAGTGACCCATTGACACTCAAGTGGTACCGTATAATCAACGACCAGAGCATATCATAGTGTACAAGGGACAAGATACCCCTTTGGGTGACCACCTCAAAAAAATACTGCTCGGTGAGCGCTGATATAGGTGAGGTCATAGGTATAGGAGGGAAAGTATATATGTGAAATGCTCCAGAAATTGCTATTTGTTACCTTAGAAAAGGCGATTTTTCCGTGACGCAATATCGGGCTTCAACGTCTAAGTCGACTCTCCCCGATCCGCTAGGCTGGGAATATTGTAAATAACCACCCGCAACATTTTGGCGACATCAACGTCTTGCACTTTCTTGCTCTCCAAGGTAATTTTTGCTCTGCGATTTGTTGTTTTTCCTATCTTCTGTCCAGAACTATTTCTATCACTTGACGTGCAAATAGCAACCCACATGTAAAACAAACTTTTCCTTTACAAAGTCTCTCATCTTCATAAAAATATATACTTTAGTGATTATGAAGGTTCACAATCACACCAAAGGTGCGATGTGAATTTCGTACTACTGCTCACTTAGTACTAATTTTATAAAGGCCAAAAAGTTTTCGTTACAATCTCTTTTGCAATCAAATGTCAATCTTAGATTCAAATCTGAAAGGGATTAACTTTTTTATGAAATAACACCGGACAACCAGTCAATTTGAACAAATAAAATTCTTGAATATTATTTGTAGTATGACTTCATGTCTAATTACAGCGCTAGTTGACTATCAGCAGCTTTCGTTTGCAAGGTTTCCAACCACAGAATTCCTCCGTACCGGTAGAAAGAAGAAAGTGGAATGAACCCAAATTGGGCGTTCATTGTAGTGACATAAACCACAATTTTGTCCACTCCCATGAGCAAAAAACTGACGCCTCTTCAGTCGAAATCTTGAATGGTTGCTCCCAATAGCTCATTTACCGACTGTTGTAATGACACGCCAACAGCCTTCGCTCTCTCCATCGTCTGCGCCATCGTCGGTCTCTGCTCGTCTTCAGCATGATCCATCATCATATTCCACTTTAATACACGGCAGCAATAATAGATTGCGCTCACAGACGCTGCTGGCGCGACTATTTCGGCGCAAGGAGCGATCTCCGCTAAACTCGCAGGCGCAAAACGAGCGGTTGCTATACGGCGAGGAGGAGGAGAGCAAAGTCCGTGTGGATTCGCCAATTCGCGCACTCTTGCGATCTCTTAGTCTGCAGCGCGGTGGCGACAAGACAAGTGAGGAGCGCACGCTATCTGAGCCTGTGCACGTGCTTATCGAAGGCGTGCTGACGATGCTCGTACAGCAGCTCTACTGGCGTTCCATGCCGTATTACTTTGTGCTTGAGCAGACGGTAGATAAAGATGCATTAGTAAGATTTACTTTGAGGCAATTTAGTATTGATCCAGCGAGTAGAAGACCAGGTCGTCTCGTAGCTATTGTAACATTGTCGCACAATGATGTGGTGACCGATTTGAGATCGTATCGACATGCTAGACATGCGCTTGAGCTGCAGCTAGCATCACTTAGCCAGCGCAAGAATTTTGCAGGAGCTGAAGCAGCTGAAAGAGACGAGGGCTACGAGACATTAGTGCTTCGACTCGCGGCAGGAGACGAACGGACATGTGTCAAGTGGTTACAGATGATTGATTCGTGTATTGATAAATTAATCGCACAAGCAGAGCCACAGTATCGGTTTAAGGATTTGGACGGTGGAACGGAACCAGCAAAAATAGTGCCCATGTTCAGAGATGATGGCCGAAGGGTGAATGGGATGATGACGCGAGATTGTGATCCTTATGGTAGCGCAGTCAGTTATACAAGCAGTGAACGCAGCAATAATTACGGTGAAATGGATATTCCAGCTGAAGAGATTCGAGCAGCAAGACAAGATATTTTGGAGGAGGATAAAGAAGAGGCGAAACTAGCTGTGCAAGACACACAGTCATCTGTACGAAGTGCACATGCCGATATAAACGATGAGGTTTTGGCGCCATCAGTTGTTGGGTATTGTTGCTCGCCAGAGTTTCGATCTTACGAGTCTTCAATCTCTCAAGACTCAGACAATAATGCAGCAGAAGAACAGGAAAGTAGCAATCAAGAAGGAGAAAATATCCTTAGGGAAGATTATTTTTCTATTGCTGCAGCCACACAAAGAGCAGTGGCACCATACAAGAGCGCAGTTCTGGCTGGAAGTAAAGCTTCTGCGTACCAAAGTATGGGGTCAACGGATGAGTATTTGAAATCTTCATTACGGTCGTCAGTAGCACCAGCAAATGAATATGGACACTTTCCCCGTGCTGCATTCGGGGCCGGTAGCAGCACCAACTTCGTGCCAATATTGCGACCTCAAACCCACTCTTTTAGCGCGAACGGACAAGACTTCACCTTAGATACTCGCTACCAACTTGTAAAGCCAATTGGAAACGGAGCGTACGGTGCAGTGATTGCAGTCAAGGACGTGATTAATGGCGGCGACGATTTGGCAGTCAAGAAAATTACTAACATATTTGAAGATTTGGTCGATGCTAAGCGAATTCTGCGTGAGGTGAGATTACTGGGTCATTTTAACCACAAAAATATCACCCGGTTGCGCGATTTGTCACCTCCTCCTTCGCGGAGGCAATTTGACGATATGTATATTATCACAGAGCTCATGGAGACGGACCTTCACCAGGTCATTTACTCCATGCAACCCATGTCGGACGACCACGTTAAATATTTTTTGTATCAAATGCTGTGTGCACTGCATCATATTCACTCGGCAGGTGTCCTTCATCGAGATATGAAGCCCAGTAATATTTTACTGAACGCAAATTGTGATCTTAAGGTGTGCGATTTCGGTCTTGCGCGTGGCGGAATCGACTCTTCATTGGAGGTTTATAACGAGCGACCACAGCTTGGTGAATTGACAGAATATGTTGTTACACGGTGGTATCGTGCACCAGAGATCATGTTAAACTGTCTCCACTATACAACAGCCATTGATGTTTGGGCTGTGGGCTGTATTTTTGCCGAGATGCTTTTGCGCGAGCCCTTATTCCCTGGGAACGACTATTTGCATCAATTGAAGCTCATCATTAATTTTTTGGGTACTCCAAAACAGGAGGATATCGGGTTTGTAAAGAACACAAAAGCGCTTCGCTTTCTGACAAAACTCGCTATATCGAAACCAAGGAAATGGCGAGATGTGTTTGCTAGCAGCGCTGTTGAGAATGTTGTGAGTACAGAAGCTATTGATCTCTTGAGCAAAATGCTTTTGTTTAACCCCGAAAAACGTATCTCTGTTGATGCTGCTCTACGACATCCGTATTTGGCAACTTTCTTTGATGAAAACGATCTTGTGGTCTCGAAGCCATTTGACTTTTCGTTTGATCTCCCAGATGATCAGCTGTCAAAGGATGCTTTAATTAATCTGCTCTGCGAAGACATCGAGCAATTTCATCCACAAGTACCCGTTTCGGTTACACCCATGCCACTGGGGACTGCCGCTAGCCGTTTCTTTCGAATGGGAATGACAGCATCAGCGAGTTAAGAAAAGACATTGGGAATAGTATTTATTACGAAAAAATATTAAGGCTGTTTTTATTCTAGTTGCAATGCAAATAGCTTTTAGCATAATTTACGAATTATTCATGGGGCTTGTAGGTTAAAGCACTAATGTAAATTTGTTTGAGCATAGCAATATTGTACTGGTACAGTGGTCACTGACGACTTGTCGCCTTTATCTCCCATCCGAAATTTATCTGCCAGAGAATCAGCAGAAATTTTAGATCTGTCATACCCTTTCATTTGGATCAATTTAGTTCATTGAGCAAGCAAACATCAGTTTAAATCAGATAAAAATCATACACGCTCGCGAGTCGCGTGGGTATACTGTGATTTTATCAATAACTTCTCAAAGAGAATGCTTATGTTCAAATGGTTCAATGGCTGTTTAACGAAACTTTCAATTTTGATGTCATCACTTAACACGCCGCTGATGTTTCCTCCTTAAAGGTACGCTTCACATTTCAGAAAATCATAATCCAGGACCAAAACAGTAATATGCTGCCAATTTTAAATACGGTTCTGCATAAAGTTTACTGGTGCCGCCATTGCCATCGTGTACGTCAGGCGTATATACACAGATCTTTGATGTCTCGGGTATCGTAGGGCGTAAAGTCAGAATCTGTAGTCAAAGTTTATAGAAACAAAATTTCCAGAGGCAAAGTTTATGATATTTGCTGTATGCTCGTTAAGTCTGACCGCAGCAATATCCCGATTTCCTACCAGTCGATCACGTTGAATTGTGATGGGCCACGACTCGCGAGAGTAGCTTTAAAGTTTTGCATGTGCAGCAGATTGGCTCAGTCGAGGACTTTTATAAATTGGGCGTAGATTCATTTCTTACCGTAGCTACGTTGATTGCAACTGATCATTGTGAACTAGTTTTCGGGGTCCACCTCCTTCATAAATACCGATACTTCGGTCTGCATTGAAAGGTCTTAGTAATATTGTGTAATGAGCTGTACACACTCGTTTTGCGCAGAATACTTCCCACGACGACCAGATCACTAAGAACGATCGTGTTAACGGACGACATATCGCTTCTGGGATTTACGGGTGCTGATCCGCTACACGGTACAACTCATTATTGAAGCTATTAAATTGAGCGGTTAGCGTGGGCAGTAGCCAATAAAATCGACTTTGCTTTGATTTGCGTGACATGTGCCCTGATGTCAACCTAAGAGCCTCATAGATACCTATTAGTTGACTGTAGAAATCTTCAAATAATGATGTTATGAACACATCTCAAACGTCATCCATTCGCCTTATGCGTACTTTGAGCCATCTAACCCAAATTTCAAACAATTGCAAAAGTAATGAGAAATGTCAGATATTCAAGACAATATTACTTTGTGTTGTCAAAATTTTAGTATATAAATTTATCACTCATCTAGCAAATCAATCTAATTTCCGAGCGCGTGGACCGACAGAGATTCATCACTCTTCACGTCGTACCCATCAGCAATCCTGTCATTTCATAGAAGATCGACTTAGTTTAAGCCTTAAGCGAAAATAGAAATGTGCGACATCCTTGTTGCTGGTCTATTCTGAAAGATTCAGTACGAAAAAAATATATACCTTAATATAGACTGTGTTGCCCACAATCAACGATCTATGTGTCTAACAGACAAGAGAGCAAGGAGTTGTCAAGAATGTTTTTTCACAAGACACGGAAACAAAGTGACGAGCATATTTTTACTCATACAACCTTCGATTTCTACCCTATAGACATGTTCCTTCAACCTTTAGGATTCTGCACGACAAGCACTTGGCATGTTGTTGTGATCACCATAGTACCGATTTCATAAATGCACCAACACAAAAGAGTCATCCTAGCGCTTCGATTTATGTTTCTGAGAAAAAAAGTCTGTTGTTCACTTGGGTGAAGGGATGTTACCAGATTCTGAAACCAGATGCTAAAACCCATAAGCACCAGATTGTTTAGTATACAGTACGATATTTGGCAGGGAAAGGGTCCACGAAGGGTATGTACAGTTCTGTAAAAGAACTAAAAAAAATTTCATGCTATGTGAGCATCATCTGTGACTGCAGAAGAATATTTAAGGATGTCAGGATCGTCATCTGCTCCTCTTTCAAGAAACAAAATTTGAGAGGAAACGTCAGATACTATACTCAAATCTCAACCACAACATAAGATACTGACCTTTCTTTTAATCATATTCTGATGCGCCATGCGGTCGCTATCGAAGAAAAGTTTGACAAGAGACAAATTCGTGGCATCATTGCTCACACACATGTGCGATACAGGTCAATGTGACTGTCCTGCGCTTGCATTTTGGTGTGGCAGATTAGTACTATGAGATATAATATCTTTTATAATTGTATGTTGGAATAATCTTATTATATTGTTTATGTAAGTACTTAGAGCCTGTAGGAAATAATTGGCTTGTCTGATTACGAATCCTTTAGCGAAAACAAAGTGCTCTGTACCTCTTCCAATGATTCAGAGTTTAAGTCACTTTGAAATTGAGTCCAATGGGCTTGCCGTCGACTGCGGACGAGGAGTGGCTACAGCACTACCAGACAGTGGCATCAGCCACGGCATCGATTCTCTCAATCACTGGCTCCTTTTACATTATCGGCCGCTACTGGTATGCACGGAGACTTAAGGCCAAGTCACTCTCGGTTTACGCTGCCTCCGCGCATCACCTTGATGTTACAAAAGAGCTCATTCACATTATCGCGTACTACGTATGTATAAAGATAAGGCGTCACTGTTTCAATATATTTAATGTTAAATACTACTTTTCTGCAGGACCTCTTTGGTGCTACTGGGCGAGCTTTTGGTGTCTTGCCTACAGAGACCTTTGACCAAGATGCCGGCGAGCCTGTGACCCCAATCTGCAAGCTCCAAGCTTTTGGTACGCAAATTTTGTACACATTTCGTACAGCTTTCAACTTGTAATACTCACTGCTTTTATAGTCATTACGTTTGGAGACGGCGCACCAATCATGTGGAACTTTATTATGGCACTCAATTTATACCGATGGGTCTGCATGGGCGAGGATCAACAGATGCTCATGAAGAGAATCAAGTATTACATCGGCAGCACATTAATCTTTACGGTCGGTATCCCATCCATTTGTCTCGCTTTCAACAGGTTTGGCGACGCTGGACTTTGGTGTTGGGTCATTGATAAAGATCACTCGACGGAAAGTCTTTTTTGGATGTTTGGAGCCTTATACTTCTGGATTATTGCTGGAGGCTCTGCCATGACAATTTTTCTCATACTTGTTAAAATGAACATGAAAAAGCGACTGAAAACGAATCAGAATGACGATGCAAATGATGCGTACTATGTCGTAGTTCACAACCTTACCATTTACATTTCAGGCTTCATTTTTTGCTGGTTACCGGCCATTGCAGATCGAGCACACACAATATTTACTGGAAACATATCACCCACATTGTATTTGCTGCATGCGACTATCGTACCGCTTCAAGGCTTTGTAAATGCTGTTATTTATGGCAAGTTTCACATTTGGGTCGTACGACATGTACGAGAGCCGTGGGCCAGCACAAATGATCTATCAAGAAAGCATACCAAATTATCTGAGAATATTCTGCGACAGTCGATGCAGTGGCGAGATCAAGAACGGGATCAAATGGGGACGGCCACGATTTTTGTGACCACATTTGATATGAATTGGAGCCCGTGTCCTACAAATTTGATGGACTGGATTCCACCAGGAAAGGATCTATATGTCTTTTCACTCCAACACTGCGTCGAAGTACAAGCTATCGAGCAGTCGATTCGAGGATACTTGATACAAGTGAATTACCCAACAGCATACAGATCGATCACATCCATTGCTGGAACGGCTGTGCGAGGTCACGTCCAGGATGTACGTGTTTATACTGCGATTTCATTTTTTGTTATTGAATGCTTACAATAACGATGATGTAGGCATCCGTTTGTCAAATTGTGTTTGTAAATAACGCCGACGACGCAAGTGGAAACGTCAAATTTCAAGCCGCTGATGGGCGAATATGGGCGCAGCGTAAAACATTTGACGAAGTTGTGGGGATCCCCATTCGTTACTTTGACGCGTCCATTGCTTTTGTATCTTGCAATCTCAGCACATCCTTTAACAGCACCTCGCAACGAGCAGAGAATATCGCTGCAAAGCACACAGTCGCTTCAAGCCTCATTCACTCCTTTGGCATGGACGCAGACCGAGCTGCCGTCGATTTTCCGAATCTTTATCACCATACGATTCTCTCGGGTAATCTAAACTACGATATCGACATGTCGACACCTGCGTTACTCACAGCAATTGATCAAGCTTACAAGGCAGAGTCGTTAAAGAGAGCGACAGATACTGCCATTGAAGTCCAAATGAAGGCTATTCGTGAAGCCAAAATGTCAACAGATAAGAAAAGTGTTGACTATCAGCTGGATCATCAGACGAGTTTGGAACAAAGTCTTGATGCGTGGGACAGCTCGCAAAGCATTGCTGACGTCTCATCGTCATCAAGTAGCGATTATATACTTGAAGAAGTGGTCACTATAAGTGATAATAGTGTCCCGTTCACTCTTCTTGAGTCGCCCACTGATCCTCTGCAGCAAGCAGGTAACGCGACAAAAGTTAACGAGGAGGAGGAAAGTGATCCTGATAACGTAGCGGTTGTCATCCACGAAGAAGCTGAAGACGGTGCGAGCGCCCACACGTGGAGTTCACTCTTGGATGAACAGCTTCCGTCAGAAGACCGTGTTATTGCCACTGCAAACAAGCCGCTCTTAAATGACCGACTTATGTCAAGCGGTCATTTCGTTCCACTTGCTCGTGGAAGTTATAAAAAAATTAGGGATCTTTTGGCCAAGTCGGACCTGGTGAGTGAAAATATGGCAGATAAATGGCTTCAAGTACTTCGTTACGACGAGCTTTTAGTCTCAATCGACGCTAAAGAAATCTTCACAGGATTTGAAGAACCAGCAATACGATTCTTGCCTTCATTTCCACGTAAAATTGGGGTTGCAGCGAAATTTTCGATGGTCGGAGAGCGCTCGTGTCAAAAGTTTTTTCAAGAAGCAGACACCGAAACGCTTGTCGACTCTCCTCCAGCTTATAAAGATCGTATTTTGGCTCATTCGTTATGTGATACAAAGCACCGAATCAAGAATGTGGGGTATTGGTCCTGTGAAAAGATCGTGACATCTACGCACAAGCCTGTCTGCAGTATTTACGAGCTTGAAATCGACCGATTTTTCACGTACAATATGGATGAAGCTGCTATTGCCGACATGCGTCAAGGCAAACATGCTCTACGTGACAAGCGTGACGTTCACGAGTTTAAAATCAAGTTGACCAAGCTGGATGCTAATATTTGGACGTACGAGCGCGATGGAGGAAGTCCCATAGTACAGCCAGCTGGGCATCGAAGACGAGAACGTGATTCAAACAGCTCGAGTAGTCATAGCAGTCATGGTGTTATTCACTCGACCAGTACAAGCAGCAGTGACGGGCACAGTGAAAACGTTACTACCAGGCGCAGCAAGTCGACGATCGCTCAGGTAGTTGGTCGAGTGCTTCGAAAGAGTCGACTTCACTCCAACAGCAGTTCGAGCTCAAAAGCGACGACGATAACGAATCAAGTCTCGGACGGTATGAGTGGAGCATTGGGAAGTCAGCCTATGGCTACGACGAATGAACACTTCTCCGCTCTCGCTGCCTCTCAGCTTGAGTTAGTGCCATTGGAACCTGTTAGCATCTCAACGATATTCCCGTTGCCATCTGAAGATGCCTACGCTCTTCAACGTAAAGTATACGAGGTCGCACACTTAGTACAAAATGGTTTTCAATCCAGCGCTCGTGTGGACGGAGATGAAGAATCGCAATTAGCGTATACCAATTATCGCACGGTGGCATGGAAAGAGGCGATGTCCAAGGGCGTGATACACTCAGCCATCACCAAGGCAGTGAATGGGGGAGTGCATATTGCCATCAGCATTAAAGCCGAGAAGGGACATGGAGGTCAAGGGGTGCTGTGTCTTCAGGAGGCAGATTTAATGATGCATGCAGCACCTGTACTCAGTGAAGCCAAACCAATTCCGTTTGATGTCAGTCTCACATGGGGAGGCAAGCACGTGGGTTATCTGCACGGTGATGTCTTGTGCTCAATGTAGAAAGTAATTATTTTTTGTCAATGCTATTTATCTTGTACTACTTGCTGGGTGAGATGTATTTTCGTCGCTGTCTTCTGCAAGTTCTAATAGAGAAATGGGCGCTCTCTGATCAATTTTGGAGTTTGGTGTTACGAGAACTGTAGGTAAGTGATTAACAAAACTATGCTTATCGTCTGGCAGCTCACCAGCATCTTCTTCGTCAGAAGATGAAGTAGATGATGATGATGAAGACAACGACACTGTTGATGTCAGACGTGTAGGTAGAAACGGTGGTAATGGGGCAGGAGACGGCAAAGGAGCTGATGGCATCGGTTGCGGTGCGTCACTGTCAGTCGTTTCTATATTTTTGTGCGGTTCTTTTGCTGCTATTGTCGATACGAGCACGTCATGAGTTTCCGCCGCTTCAAGCCACGGCGAGTTGATGCGCTTAAGTCGAGCCTCAGCTTCGATGCGTTGCCGTCGTTCAATGTGCAATTGCTTTCGCAACGCAGCAAGTTGTTCGAGCATAGCATTTTGTAGCGAATTTTTGGCACACTTCAGTTTTTCAATTTGCGTGCGTTGTGTTTCAACTTGATGTTCCAGTGCCTGCTGCTCTTCCAGAGACGACGCACTTATGGTCACAGCTTCGCTCATGGCTCTCGCGGCATCGTTGCGCTGCTTTGACAAAGCAGCCAAATCCTGCAAAGTACCTTCCATTGCTTCACGAAGCGCGTGCTCTTCTGACTGCTTTAACTCTAGTTGTCCAAGTAGATCTCGTCGACTAGCCTCGTGTACTTCAATTTCGGTTCGCAACCGACGTCCACTATCTTCGTGCTGTTCAACTGTGGTTTGTAGCTCGCGACAAACGTCCTTAGTAGCCATATAATCAGCTTCAAGCTTCTTGTGAGCATCAGAGAGGCGCTCCAAATCTGATTGTAGTGCTGCCTCTCGACATTTCTGAGTCGTATTTGATTCCTGTTGTTCACGAAGTGCGATCATGAATCTTTCACATTCGCCTCGCTGTCGTTCGACCTCCTGACGTGCTATTTGAACACTTGCTTTCAATTCTTGATTCTCGTGTTGTTCCAGTTCTAATTTGTGCTTGGCTCGCTCCATTTTCTGTCGTCGTTGTAACTTTTCATCTTTTAATTGCGCTTCGAGACGAAATTTCGCCTCAGCTTGTTCATGGATGTAACGAAGTAGTGTGGTCTTTTCACAAGCAGCAATCTGCACGTCGTTGGAAAGTTGCGCTAATTTCTCATCAAGTGCAGCACGTTCTTTTTCAAGTGTCGCGATCCATGTTTCCCGCACTGTACGCGTCTCTTCTAGCTCCTCTTGGCAATTTTGAGAACTTTGAAGTTCTTTTTGTAGTGCTGACACACTTTTTCGTTCTTGATCGAGTTGCAAAGCTAAGGCTTCACCTTGGTCTTGTAGCTTTGAAATCTCAAGTAGTAGACCTGTGTGTAAGGATCCATTAATCACATGCGCTTCGAGTCGAACTTCTAAAGCACGTTGCAAGATAGAGAGCTTGTCTCTAGCTTCATCACGCTCTTGTTGCATTGTTTCCAGCGCCTCGTTTCGCTCCTTTAAAGTCGCCTTGAGCGAGCGTAACCGAGAGCTTAAATCGAGGTTACATTGAGCCAGAGACTTTCCTTTGGTACCCATGAAGAAACAATGCTCAATTTTTTTTGCATAGTCTCTGTTGCTGATCGCTTGCTGCTCGATTTCTTTGCGTTGTGACTGAATTCGGTCAATCTAAGACACCACAAACAAAACTGGCAGATTTACACATCAAGGAAACAAATGAGAAAATCAAGAGGACACAATATGCCGTACGAGATGACGTAGTTTGCCATTATCACGCTCAAGTTTTGCATTGTTCCCTAAGACTTTCTTCATCTCACGGCGAAGTTGGGTATTCTAATCAGCACAGAAATTCATTTTGACACCGAAATAAACAGAGTGCACAAAACGGTATGTGCTCACTTTTTCTGACGTCTTCTCCAAGCCGAGTCGTGTTCGAAAGTATCGCGTTTCTAGAACCTTCAATTCTTTATTCAGCGAAGCCACATGGCTCGTCGGCGCAGGAAGTAAACGCTCTAGGTTTTGTTCTCCTAGTTGATTGCAAACCCCAGCGCGAATATTGTCTTCTTTCTCGTCAAGTATATCCTCATCCTTGTTAACATCGTCACACCCGTCACTTCCTTCGGAATTGGTCTCGACGTTGTTGGCTTGACTACTGGCCATTTGGCGACGACGCAACCACTTACTCGCCATTATATTGGATCGTCGTCTATGTAAGCTATTTTCATGGTTATTGTCGTTTCTCGGTACTCGGCATGACGTTTTAGGGCTGTTTCAATGTCTCTTCGCATGACCTGGTTGATAGTTTACAAATTATACAAAATGAATATGATCACAGTACTGACTCAATTAAACACGGTGGCTTAAACACGAGCTGTATGCAAAGACGGCTACGGGTTGCGAGATAGTCTAAACTTGGTAGCTGATGATTTATCTGCCTTCAACGCTGACACCCGTCGCACGTTTTGTCTTCCTGCCAGGCCTCGCGATTTCTTGCATTCGTTTAACCAAGCGCGCTTTACGAGAATCCGGATCGACTTTTTTAGCTTGAGCAGCACTCATATCGACTTTGGATTGAGGACGAAGCAGAAAATCGATGTGCAGTTGCTCTGGTAACTCAGCACGTTCTGATACGTCAAATTTAACGTCCAATTCGGCACTACGCCCATTAAACACGTTGCCACCACGGTCAGCAGCACGCATTTTAGTTTTCGACTTTTTCTGCCTGCGCCTGGAGATGAAAACACGTCAGCATAACAACAATTTCTAGTCAAATATAAGAAACCATACGCTCGCTCTCGACGGCGGTAAATTTCATTCTCTGCCTTCTCTGCTTCCAGTTCAGCAAGCTTAGAAAAGTCTAGCGTCTTATTAAAGACTGCACGGCTCCAGCGCTCCACCAAACTGCGGCATAGCTCTTTGTTCTCGATTGTCTTACCAAACACAAAATACAATGAACGTGAATCCCATTGAACAGCCACATTTCACACTAAGTGCTACCTCTTGCGGGTGCTTCATCAAAACCATTACAACTTTTCCAAGTCCACTGCGCTTCAAATGCTCTTTAAACACTACACAACAGCCTCCATTACCAACCTTTTAGCACCTAAACGATCTACTTGCACAACACACCTGGCATTTTGCTAACCATATCAAGTATCTTGGTTCGCAAACCAACATTTGGTAATGTGCCATCTTCAAAAGGCTGAATCCACTTTTTAACAATCTATTTCTCAAAAGGCCAAATCAACATATCAACTAAATCTTATCATAGTTATGCATGACGCACCGTGAGCAGGTCAAAATCGAGCAGCATCGGCTGGAATTGCACTTTACGTAAAATATGCAATGCATTATCCACAAACTTGATCTTTTCCAAGGCTGGCCGACGTTCTGCAATACTTACTAAGTCATCAGCATAAGCCTTGTCCATGCGGTAGAGAACCTCCTGCGTAATTTGTTCCATCTCTTGTGGCGATAAATTAAGCTTAGAGCGAGCGCGTCCAGTCTTGAGATTTTTCAATGTGTTTTCAAAAAAGTCGTCTTTCTGCTCTTGGAGTGGCTGCAGCTCACTAGTTGGCCGTTCATCATCAAACTGCTGATGTTCTTGATTATATTCACCCAGTACATCAGCCAGATCATCGTCTCCGTCAATAAAATCGTCGTCATCTTTTGTAGCTACTACGTCATCTCCAGAGTCATATTCATCTCCTTCCGGAGCATGGATTTCCTCCTTTTTCACACGTTTTGAAGGAGGCGAGACTGGATGCTTAGCTTGTTTTTCTTCATCTTCACTTTCCGAGTCGGAGCCAAAAAGACTGGCAGTAGAAACGTAATAGTATTTTTTTGTAAATGTAGGATTTATAGAGACAATCAGAATGATAATACCCTGAAGCATCGGCAGTCGTAGTAGCGGCAATTTCTACAAGTAATGTTTTAATTGTTTCAATTGTTTAAACCTATTGATAGAAAAGAAGAGAGCGACGTACGACGAGGAAGCTGCTCGTCACCAGAATCGTCGGAATCTTCATCACCAAACATCTCATTAATGCTGCGCTTCTTACGCTCATCTTCTAACAAAAAGAAAGAGTAAATTCATGCTAATTTAGGCGCGAAGTGAGCTCTGACACATGTCAAATAGCTTACCGTCAGAGCTTCCCATGACAGTGCTAGTATGAGGAGAATTAGAAAATAAAATAGCTCGGAACTATTTGCCAGCTTTTTTTTTAAATGTAAACAAAAGAGAGGAAATAGTCAAATAGTAATATAGCTAATGAGAAAAAAATTAGTCATAAGGAATAGACGTGTTTTTGGTAATGGTGGTGGTCCCAATACTCACGAATAAAATAAGAGAGACTAAGCGAGCCACGTGTCTAGTTGCATTCTCTTTCCCCGAGATCGTACGTGAACTAAATTCCCCATTCACAATTCTACAAGCTCCATAGGTAAGGCTAGGGGCGTTATGCTCGTGATAGACAGACAGTATCATTACTTTCGTAGCAGTAGCATTGTTGAATTATGACTTTTGAGATCGCTCTAGTTTAAAGGTTCACGTCGAACCCGCTGCCGCAGGTGATTCTAATTAATTCCAGCCCTTTTAACTCTGAAAATTTTTTAAGCCATGGCACAAGCGACTTCATCGGTGCTGGTTCATGGAGAGCTGTCTTCTGGGTAATTTGGATGTACTCTTCGATATCGAAAAATTGCAATCCTGCTTTATGTTTTGATCAAGTGAAACAAATGAAACATCATACTAGTTAACAAGCCAGCTGATTTTGAAGTTGGATACACGACAAATTTAGATGTACGCCTCGTTGTGCTCGCAATACTATGCAAAATTGTTGGATTTACGACGACTGCACAGAGTATTAGAGCTAACGGTTCTTCCAGGCAGACTCCTCCCTTTTAGCGTTCGCTTATAAATGTTGTCTAAAACCATACACTAGGGTTGAGGACCGCTATATATGCTAATCTAAAAGATGGATAACTGAAGCCGGCTCCGATCGCTGCGGCTGTCCAACTGCAACCGCTGACAAGGGTGTGTTGTGAAAACGACAATGACACAGTAATTGATTTTTTCACTTCTGACGTTGGTGATTTAAACAATGTGTTCGATAAGATTGGGGTCGTAGTTGAGTGAAAACTGGCTATGACAAAAGCCAGGCACTCCTCGTAGTCTTGATTCACCCACCGTGCAGCGGGGCTGCCGTAGCTTTGCGCTTTGAGGAAGCGTAACGTAGGTCACCAATCTTTCGTTCTATACTCAGAACAATTAAGAGTTTAGGGGATCGCAATCCACTTACTCCAAGAGTAATTATGGCCATAACCCAAGGATAATAAACTCTTCCGTTCAAAATCCAGAACTGACTATATTTATTTGTATCTGCGGCTAAACCGCCTAATTTCAAATGTATAATATGTATAGTAAAATCTAAATACATGCATGACTACTGGCTACCCAGCCCCATACCGTATTCTTGTTAAGGTGCAGCCACACCATGCCTATCTCGTGCGACACACACGCCTGTTACCAGGGTACGTGTAATCCCGTTACACACCGGTATGCCTTTGTGGAAGTAGGTGTCGCCACAGTCATGCTACAACGTGACTGTGCACAAATCTAACTAGACAATAAATTCGTCCATAGTCGTGCAGAGCACGGAGAGTCGGCTGTGGAATGATTACCACGTCGTACACGTCGATGATCCACCGTAAACCAGAACACGCGATAGCTCGTTTGTGTCGGGGTATCAGCGCTTGGGCCTTTGTTCCGATACCGATTGACATTGATGCCGTTTGACGAATCTCAAAAATACTGATTTTTGCTGAGAATTGCTGAGCCCGGGTGGACTTCTGATAAATAGGAGATCGGGCTGTATTCGTGAAAGTGGATTGGATATTGTATCTCCGAAAAGTTGAAATTGTTCTCTTGTTAGAAAGGGTAATGACGATCGAGACAAGAAAAGAGAACACAGCCTCAGCAAAAACAGGGCTATGAGGCTGAAGCGTTTTGATGTTCATGCGCTGAAATTGATTGCAAGGTCCGGTTAGTGGTCGTTACATGAACCCTCTTTATGTGCCACTGTAGAATTCTTAGTGGACAGCTATCTTGTCTGTACCTATCAGCTTCCATATCATAGTTTCAATAGCATTGAGACAAAAAACAAGGGTGTGCGGGATTGCGAGTCCAACTTGACCAGAGATATGAATTTGTATACTGTAAAAAAAAGTGTATGCGAGGCCAGTAGACGCGCATTACAAGCAAGAAGCAGGTCAAGAAGCGGTCGTATATCAATCATATGTTCAGACATCCAAATGAAGTGATTGACTATAACGATTTGGTTACCATCTGCCTGGTAAGATTTGTATTCAAGAGTGGTATTACCGGTGAGTATCGTATTAATGGTACACAAATACTCTATAATTGCCCCTTGGACATTGAGTCAGGTAATACGTTGAAAAACTCTAATATTTCTGATCGGAATGAGGAGTATGGAGAAAGGTTAAGTCCGCGTACGCGATACGGCTCATACGACAACATTATTCTGAATAATTTATCCGACATAAATAAGATTAGCTTGTCTTACTAAGTTTTTAATGATGTCAAAAGAGCAGCCTAATAACGTAATCACTCTAGAGGCTCGCGTTCACTCCTGAGAGAAGCGAATAAGTTTGTCATCCGTCTGTTTTAAAACTCTCTCTGTGCAAGGAGCGTAGCAACCTTCTGCAGTGGTAATAAAATCTTCAATTGAGTCGTGATACGGTTGAAACCACTGGTAGGTTGGAACACGAATTTTTGCTCTCTCTCCACGGGATAATTTGCCTCATATAAGACCAATGTTTGTAGTTGGAGGGTGTCGATGATACGCTTGTGGATTCGATGGCTGGATCTAGTGATCAAAGATATGAGGGCGTTAACCAGTTATGATAATGCGCTTGTGAGAAACCTCCGAGATAACCTCCATCAGTCATCACTAGGGTCAAGACTGACACCCACAGTAAGGTCACTAATGTTGAGCAATGAGCAAAGAGCCAATGTAGAATAGAAATGAAGAAAGTATCTGCCTAGAAGAGATAAGCTGGGATAGCCAAATATATAGCCTTGTTAAAGATGAATCAGCAGCGCTTTGCACTGGCGATTCTCATTCGGGCAGATCTCACGGTAGACGTACATGCAATTATTCTGTAAACGATGATTTCTTGACATGAATAGATGACTCATAGATGGTGTGAAGCAGGCGTCCGCGCCCTAATCAAGGCGACAATAGTAAAAGAGGCAGAAGATCGCGACCTTTGCTCGAACGTTGAGGGCTCCCATCGAGGCGATTGATGCACATCCTCATGTAAGTAAGATAACAGGTCTGATCTCTGCAAAGAGTATTCTGACAGATGCGGTTTGTACATCTATCCAGACTCTGGAGGATTCAGTCGGAGTTCTATTGGATGCAAATCACGAATTCCGTCCGCCAGGTTTAGCTGGATTGCGTCTAGTCTCGGCTCAGTCAAACGGAAAATAAAATAAAAACAGCTTATTCGCTGAGCAGCACCGTAATACTTGCATATACTTCATATCAAATATCTACGCACTGTGATCTTTTTTCCTCCATCTGGTTTGGATAAAGAATAATCACGTCTTACAAACCCTGCGCGGGGAAATCTTGAGTCTCAGTAAACCACCATGCGACTACTGGACATAACTATATTTTATCGAGCCTCATGGGGAACGAAGACAATGGGCCTAAGCCATACGGGGTGCGGTTCTGTCTCTTGGAAAGCAGTGGAATACAATCAGGATTATTACTGTTAATATCAAACCTCCGGTTTTGGATGGTTATGAAAAGTCTTGATATTTTCAGGAGTGTCGAGCAATTTTTTTATAACGCACGGCTGTCAAACACAGAAAACGGTAATGAATATGCCGAATGTAGACATGTTATACGTGCGTCTAGCGACAGAGTTATGACGAATGAATGTTGAGCCTCTTCGTAAAAATTGAATTGGATGGCTTTGGCAGCACGGAACGTCCTTGGGCCTAGACATAATTTTAAAATGCAACTTTGTCGTCGTGCAGAACGGCTAGAATGAAGGTAAGAGATATCCGGTGATACGCACTGCGCTCCTAGTGGAGATCTATTTAGTCATGAATCCCTACCGCTTGTAAGTAGAAACGCTGCTTCAGGATGCAATCGTTACGTTTAAGAGCATGAGACTGTCCAACTCAATTTAAAAATATTGCAGAAATACAAGCGTTCGAGACTACAGACAGAGCGCCGCGGTCTCGAGCAGGGAACATACTGTAATCGCATTCTGAGATATATCTGCTTTGACATGTATCTGCTTTGACACAATATGTCGCGGATCTTAAAACGTATTTCTGAAGGGATTTTTTGCTTAATCTGCAGGCTGTGTCCAACGTGTCACTTTGAATTGGACGGATAGAAGAGACTGTGTGTCGCGGTATCCAGGGCTCACTTAGTTGCTTGCGACCGTGGTGTATGGAGCAAGACCTAGCAAATACAGGCGACTTTAAGTCACGTGTAGAAGATACAGGCCCGTGTAAAATCGAGGGTGAGTGATCGTCACGACGCGACGGTCTGAGTCAGTATACCGCGCTCACCGTGCGGGGTACTGAAGCTCACGGGCTAGTGGCGCCAAAGTAAATCTCTCCTTGTATAAATTGAGCCGGTAGTCCTAGTGGATACAAGTCTCTTCTCGTTCCCTCACCAAAAATTTCTTGGATTGCGAAGATATCACTAGGGATGTTCAAAATAGTTGTAATCACCAAAGAAGTCATATTAAAACTGGAAGTGGAGCTGTGCGTGTCGTCCGCCGTTAATGATTTTACAAGTAAGTTTTCCATAAAGATATGATAATCCATTTATTTGTTAGTGAATCCACCGATGTAATGACATATTTCATATACTTGTTGTGTTCGAATCGGTGATGTCTGGAGACTGATCCGGTACGTGAAAGTAAATATTGCGTAACACATCGATGACCCTACAACAAAAAGTGTGATAGAATTCTTGCTTTCCTTCGTGTAAAATGCAGATCAGGATTGGTGGGCATATTTAGCGAGCGGGAGTTAAACTCCCCATCCGGTGCCAGCCTATCTATGTCAGAGAGTCGTGGCAAGTATAATCAGTTAAAGAAGTCACCCTTCTTGCGCCTACTAAGCTGTAACAAAAACGTGCTGCTGATCAGATGGTCGACTCAACTTTTTCGAAGCTATCGGACTGGTATTGAAGTTTACAACTGCATATAATACCGAGTGACATTCTCCCCATCTCAATAGTACTTCAACCTGAATACTCTAAGAATGGCTGGTTATGGTTTAGGGCTGCCCAATGCACTAGCAACTTTCGAAAAGCCACATTGTGCCGGTGCAGCAACCCATACATCAGTGTTTATAATGATGTCGGGAACTGGAGATGTGAATATCCACATCAAACACTGCAAACAGTGCTCGAGAGTTCAGACAAAAAGGTCTGTATTAAGCTCCGGCAAAGTTTACTTTCCTTAACTCGTATGAGGATTTTTTTTTGTAAGCATATCTGCAAAGATTATGTTCATAGTGGGCTAACCAGTGTCGCTATTTGAAAGAAAATAAAATCAAGTTTTGTGCAAGATATGCCGACATGGTATGGTTGCCCACCCATCTTCGCAGAAACCAGGTCAAACAGCGCCGAAACGTCGCAATTAGTCGTCACTTTGATCCTAGAGAAAGCCTCGTGTGCCCCTCGAAAATATACAGAAATGTCGAATCGAACACGATAATTGCGCGGTGAGGATTATCCTACACCACTCTTTCTCCGAAAGTTCGCGACGCTGAAGCATCAGGCTCTTATTTTTTACAAATCGCGATGATGACACGCAATACGCTCATGTATTGACTTTTTTACGTAAATGGATACGTGAAGTCGCGTATATCTGTTTGACAACTCCACAAAGTAGCTTCGGTGCTACGAAGGTACTGTCGTTCCTGATGGGCTTGCGAGTGTCAGCCTTGCTACTCTCCGTCGCAATTCGATTTTCACGATATCGAGCGTCTAACGCCGAATGCACTTTACTATTCTTCACCATCGAAAAGGTTTGAGTTGATTTACTCGGCATACATACACATTCAGTGTAAGCAATTTTTCTAAAATCAAATTACGAGTTCTCTGCTTACGGTCATTGCGACAAAAGAATTGAGCTGAATTTCAGACGTCATAGAGAAAACACCGGACATATACGAATAAGAAGCGTTTTGTTAAAGCCGAATCAAGTATCAACTGCCCTGTAACTTTTGCTCCAAGGCGACGATACAGTTCTTAACTGGTTGGTGTGTTACTAAATCAATCGGTACGATGGCGTAATTGAAATCGCATCCAGAATTTGGGCTATGTAAATTTAAACGACCGTGGGGACTAATAAAGCGAGGTGGTGTGCCCTCGTTATCGAAACTCTTTAGAGCCGGCTACCTTAGAGTTACCGGCATTGCCCGATTAGGGAGAAGTGACCCTTCTTCATGTGAAGCAGAAAGCGAGCCGACAGGTGTGCTTTGACATAAACAAATATCCGGTATATTGGAGATAATTTAAATAATCGGATGGTTGATATGCAAATCAGCGCCCCGTTTCTGCCTCTACAACATCAGGAGTAGATAAAAGGGTAGACCGCGCAACACGCTTTTCAATTGCAAATCAATCAGAAATCACTTAAAACACAAGTTTTGGTCGACAGCTACTCATTAAAAGCAGAGAGGTGTTCTAGCAGGAACTTGATATAATAGGCTTTCATTTTGACGACGAAATGATGCATTATACTGCGTGGCATAGGGACGCCTGCACTACCGCAACTGGAGTATCAAGCTGCTGGACGGGTAAGCGGCGCGTCTTCTTTCTCATGCGTAGATTGGTTTATTAACATTTGCCTCTTTCTCCGGCGTTCAGAACTAAAAGAACGTTGCTCATGAAGTGTAGTTTTATCTAACTGCTTTTCTAAGCGCTGGAGGTACTTCTTAAAAGCAATAACAAGAGGAAACTAGGACTACTTTCATGAGCCGAGCTCAAGCGATGGCCCGGAACTCTTGCGGTCGCATACACAGAGCTCGCAGGAGCGTTAGGGGTTGACCCATACGTCGCAGGGGCGGGGCGACAATCTGAAGGGAGCCGACGACGTGCTTTGAGTTTGGCAAGCTCAAATCGGAGGTGGCGCTCCACACACACGCCCACTTTCTTGTGGCTCAGCTGTAAGGCATGCAGTGAGGAAAGTGGTGCCGTCGCACCCATTGCTCAAAGTGCACTTCGTCATTTGTAGCGCATTCGCCAGGAATGAGCACTACAGGTATCGTTTGCATTGCAATACACGGAGCCAACTCGTTAAGCACTTAGACGAGTGCAAAAAGCTTCCAGCGGAAATTCTTGTGGAACCAAGGAACGAGCTCGACGAGCTTTCCGTATGGCAAGCTCAATGGCCGGGGGCCGATGATGTGGAAGCGTAACGATCGAGTTAGCACCTCCGGAACTTAGTGATGTACTCTTCCAGACTCTTGTAATTCTTTTGCTTCAGGTCGTCTCACTTCTCTCTCAATCTTTCTAGGATGTCCACCGGGACAAACTCTCGGCTCATAATGTCTTTCAGATGCTTAACGGACTCGATGGTCAGACCTGTTGCATAAATACCACGCTGCTGCTGCTCCTCTCAGATTGACAGTGATCAAGGAGACAGCGTAGTTGGTGTCTTTCATTGTACATGTCAATGTTTTGCGACTGACAGTACTTGTGGGCATGGAAAAAGAACAACTCCAAACTTTCATCAAGTCCACCATGATATTTAGCCATCTCCACACCTTCCACTTTGAGGTCGGGCTGGACTTGGCGCTGCATTCACATTTCTTCTAGTATTTCTTGTTGGCGTTGAAACAGAGCAAACATGCCAGCCATCATTTGTTGCGCTGTCATGTTGTCGTCAAGTTTCATGGTGTTTTGAACTTAAACTTTTTTGGCAAAAGAAATCAACGACTTCTTCTTCCTCGGTCTTGCGAGACTTCTTCTTCTTGTGTTCGTAGCAGACAATGTCTGAAATCTTCTTGTCGATGAGGTTGCTCTGAACGTCGGCGTAGTATGTGAATTTTTCAGCGATCTTGATAACGTGCTTGATGCGGTTGCTTTCGATGGCCGTCTTGTTGGGCTCTCAGATGAAGGCTTGGTTGATTCGGACGGCTCTTTCAATAGACTCTTGTAGATCGTGTCGC